TGCTAGTCCAACATGGATAGTTTTCCCTTAAAATAGTAGGGATTTTCATGTTCATCAGGTCTTGCCCAAACAACTTCGTTAGATGTTTCAGGCTTTTTGCTCTTCTTGTTGAAATCTCGTCTCCCAAAGTGAAGATACCAAAGTGGCAAAAGAATCAAATATAAAAACTTGTCCAATGGTCAGAATAAAATATCAGTTATCTCTGATATACAAAACTAGTGCAGATATTGGCAGAGGCTTCTCCTCCTCCCCAGTAACCACTGTGGTGAGCGAGAAAGCTGCTCCCTCAGTTCCACCAGTACAAACATTTTGAATAAGCAGGAGATAAGGGAATGGGAGAATGTCTTTTGCACTCTGGGAGTGATATGATGAGATTATTTCCATGTAAAATGCAATTTTGTTTTGATATGCATGTTTGGAAGGATGAATTCTATGCAAAGTGTGTTAGTACAGACACAATCATTCCTTGCAGGCAACTTTGTGCTGGTAATTCTTTTAAATCAAAGCATTGCATCAGATTGCTTGACCTGCTTTCTAAGGTGACCCTTGTCCCTTGTTGAAGATACCATTCATCAAATAGAATTTCTAAACTTGGTTGGTGTTGCTTGGCAAACTTTGATTCATCTGCAGATGGATTAGTTTCAACAGAAAATCGTGTAGTTTGTGTACAGATGTGAAATATTTTGCTTTTATTAGAGAACAGAATTATTAAGGATTGTGTTCTTCTGTGTTTCTGCCTTGGCAGTGTTAGGTTGTGCCCCTTGTCTAAATTAGTATCTCTTTTTGTTGTTGTTTTTTATTATTCTTCCCTGTGCAGTGGAGATATTTTTGCTGCCTCATCAACTTTCAGTGTCTCAGTGATATTGTAGAATTGTTCTAACAATTCCCTTACACTCCTTTGTGGTTTTGTCACAGGGCTTCACTGTCTTGTCTTCACCCAGTAATTTTGACCCCATCCTGGGGCTTTGTGTAGTTGTGTGGGGAACTTCTTAAAAAACAATTATTTATTTGCGATTTTTTTTTTCCACAGCCTGTCATTTCATGTAATCTCTGCTTGCTCATTTCATGTCTTCCCCACCCTTTTTTAGCCTTTTGTCATGCTGCCTCTCTAATTACATGTAAATCTTCTCAGAACTTGCTTATGTTTCTCATACAATTGGCTGTTTGGTCAGGTGCTGTCTGCTTTCCTGTTTGATTTCTGTAGAACACAACTGAGTTTCTCTGTTATAGTCTTAATTTTTACTCAAACTGCAAGGTCAGGGTCTGCACAGGGGTACAATATTATGGTGTAAAACATCTTTTCATACTTCAAAGCACATTATTAGCAGATGTTAAATCTAGGGCATGGTAGTATTGTTTCTGAAGGTATTTTTACAGATCACATAGTGCTCTCAGAACTTTTTTCTTTGAGTGGCTATAAAAGCTCTCAAAGTTGCTGGTACGAATTCCCAAGCTGCTGTAGTGGACAGGAAGAGCATGGTTTGGAAGAAAAGGCTGATTATGTACAATGCTGAGTGGGAAGAGCAAGTATTTATAAACAAGCTTGCTCAGAAGAAAGCACAAACAGTATTTTCTCCGTGGCATTTCTTCAGTTTGTTTCTTTTACAGAACTTAAAATGTTTCAGTTATTTTCCAGTGTATAAAACTTAATGAGTTTATTCATAAAGCTGTGTTAGAAGAGTTTTCTTTTGCTTCTGTTTGGCTCTTGATTTAACTAAAGAAGGTATTGACCAAACTTTTATTAGTTTTGGGGTCTCACATTTTGTAACAAAGCAGCCAAAATAGAGATTTTTCATCTTAATACTGAAGTTGTTCTCAGGGAGCTTGTGATACATATGGAAGTTTTTTCTTTTCCTGAAAACAGATATTTGGCACTTGTTTGTCTCTTTTGTTGTCTGGCTTCCTAAGCGACCAGTCTTTCAGTGTATGGAGATAACTTAAAATTTGTACAAATGTCGATATAGATTGCTTTGATAGCTAGGAGGATATGCTGGTTTTAATCTTAATTTTTTCTGTATGGGCCAACAGTTCTACCCATGGTTTATGAACTAGTTGGTTTTCTCTATGGATGAGATACAAGTGAGTTTGTAGAGTTCAACTGATCCAACTTCGACATGGCATTTTCATGGACTGGTGAAACAGGAAAGGTGACTTTGATCTTGTGACACTCACTTTTGATCACTTCCATGAAGTAAATGGGAACTGAGAAAAATCTTACTGTCCCTGCAGAAACGATTTTATATTTTTGGTCAGAAGTGGGTTTATTATTTTAACAACACTGAGGGCAGGGGAAGCACAAGGCAGTCTGTGGCTTGGAAGCAGTTTGCAGTTGGAACTGCACTTACATCTGAGATTGCACTATGACTGTCCCCCTTGCCTTTGGCCAGTTGAGCTTTCACACAGCTGCCAGTGCAGCCCCAGCAGCAGGAATTCACCAGTGCTGAAAAAACTGCTTGAGAAACACAGCAAGGCTGTGCTGAGCCCCTGCTGCTGTGGTTACACTGCTTCTAGCAACAGCTTGCTGAGTTGATTTAAGCTGGTGTTGCTATATCTGGATTAGGCGTAGTCAGGCTTGTGACTGCAGGCTGAGTTTGTCCTTAAACTCTGCTGCCTCTGTCTGTAGCCTGTCCTGTGTCACCTGGTCAGCAGACAATTAGGAAATGTTTTGGAATACAGGGCAAAAGATGCTTTTTATGTCAGTAGTTCAGTGTGTTGCAGATACGAGTTCTTAGCCTTTTTATGATAGAAGAAATACTAATTAAAAATACTTGAGTTTAAAATCCAAGTGATAGTTTTCTAGACTTCTGTGTAGGGGCAAAATGTTCCGTTCTTTGTTTTCTGTAGCTTCAGCATTGTAAGGGAGCTGTGGGTGCTGCTTTTGGGCAGTAGATGGACATTTTTAACTTTGTTGTTGATTTATTTCAGCAACACAACACTGATGGGTTAATAGTCTATGAAAAGATAAGTGTTACTCTTTAGCAAGAAATAAGTAACAATGAAAACAAAGAACAGCTCAGTTTTTGGAGTGTGGAAATATATCTAAATGGGGTTGTCAAAGAATGTTTAGAATTATAGTGGAATCCCTTTTCATGAGGCAAATAAAACTCTTGGGATGCTCTGTGGGGAGTAATCCCACTCTGACATGGGGTTATTTACTGTAGGTTGTGATGTGTTTGTGTATTAAATCTGTGATTTGTTATAAACACTTTGGTTTCATGGTAAGAGCACTGCAGAGTTGGGTAGCTTTTTTAATTTAACATTTGTAGTAGTAATGCCTAATATTGTATATTGGACCATTATAGCATTCAGCTTTGGGTGTAGAAGGCTGATTGGAGACATAATCCAGTGAGTCAGTGGTGGTGTTTAATTTATCCAGGCCATTCCCTTTTGGGACCTTGGTATTTATTTATTTATTTATTTATTTATTTATTTATTATTATTATTATTATTATTATTATTATTATTATTCACTAAGTCCTTCAGTCCTGTCTGTTGTGAGGTGCTTAATGGTCCCCCATGAAGGAGAACAGAGGTTTGCTTTCCTCTTCATATTTCTCCCATTCTCACAAATTTATCATTCCTAATAAAAGATGGGGGCTTTGTGTTTGGGTCTCCGTAGATAAACCTGAGCTGTGTTTTCATCTCATAATTGCTATTCTGAGACAAAGGAGAAAACTAGGGCAAAGATCACATAGCACTGCTTTTCTTGTAAAAGGAGGTTGATATGACTTCTTTGGCCTGTAGTTTGAGATTTGGTTGTACTGGTGCTGAAACAAATGTCACCGTTTGCTTGGATCATTCCCAACACAGATCGTGGTATCAGCCCCACAGAAGGTCAGGTGTTTTGTAGGATTGAAAATGGTTAGGCTACCAAAGGCAGCCTGTAGAAATAAAGCCTTTGGCAAAATAGTTTTATATCTAGTTTAATATTTCTTTGAGCAGGAGCTGAAGGGCTGTCCAGGGGCTCACATTTTGTGCCTGTTTGATTTGAGTCTGTTCCTACCAGACTGTCTATGTTACAGATCAGTGTCAAAGATCATTTTCTCTCTTTCTTTATTGTTGGCTTGTTATTCCCTGTTACTGCTTTTTCTCTACTAGCATCTCCATCCTGTGAAAGCTCCTGCATCAACAATAATAGAATAAAATCAATAGTTAACTAAATCAGTTGTTTTCAAGTTACTCCCTGTGCTGCTGAGACATGAACAAGCTGGAGGAGGCCCCAGGCGTCTCCTGTGGCTGTTGTGTGAGGCAGTGGCTGTAGAAGGAAGCACTGTCCCACCTTGTCTGTTGCAGGGAAAGACCTTTTCTTGAAAATTTCAAATTATAGAATTCTGTAAATGATAAAACTTGAAGCTGAAAGGCAGAAGGTAATTTGGAAACATCTTAATAGATTACTTACTGTCGTGGGAATGTTTATTGGGAGTCAAAGTTGTTTTACTGAGTTACTCATCAAGTGCTGTGATACAAAATATATTTGCTTTTTTGAGAAGAAGAGGTGCTGATAAATGCTTCTAAGGTGCACAGAGTTACAAAAGGCTTTTAGTAGTGTTTTGTAAAGGAGGGAAATAATGCTGTGTACAGTTACTCTATGGACTTCTTGTTTTGGTGTGGTGGGGTTTTTCTTTAATTTTTCTTTTTTTCCTCGACCTGTTGTGAGCTCAGTGAAAACTTGAAGCAGTCTGTAGGTTCACTTTACACTGTATAGAACACATGCACATGTCACATTCAGGTTTGCATTGTCAGTGGATATTGATTCTTCAAGGAAATGGTTTACCCTGCTGTTAATGACTTGTGTTACATTGTTGTACTGTAATTGTTTAAATAGTTATCGTGCTTTAAATTCAGGAAGGAAAATAATAGTGCATTAGTTGCCTTGTTTATCTTAGAACTGGCATACCAGAGTGAATGTTGTTATGCAAACATAAACTTACACTGTTTTTCTTTGGGTTTGGGACTGACTTGCATATGTCTTAATGTCTTAATTCTTGTGTTTTTTGCAGGGTTCAGTGGTCTCAGTTTAAAGGCTATTTTATTTTCAAACTGGAGAAAGTCATGGATGATTTCAGAACCTCAGCTCCTGAACCAAGAGGGCCTCCCAATCCAAATGTGGAATATATTCCCTTTGAAGAGATGAAAGAAAGAATCCTGAAAATTGTCACTGGATTTAATGGGTATGTATCCTTTGTTTTCTAAAATCAGGATAACAAACTTTTTTCCCAGTTTTTAACATAGTAGTTTATATTGTCTGTCTGTGATTGTTCATTTTGCTTCCTGAAATAGCTGAGCAGAAGCAAATATGCACCTTGGATACATTACAGTAGTTCCAGAACCTTATTATTTTGTCTTTGAAAATGATGACATCCTGTGACATCATTCACTTGGGTTTTTTCAATGTGCAGTTAGTTTTTAAACAATGCAGTTCATCATATTACTATGTGCTTTTAAGAGGTTAAATAGATAGTAATGTCAGATTTCTTTCAGTATATTTTGAAATACCTAATGGAAAGAAGTCTTCTGGTGTTGAGTTCTCAATTGTTTTGTGGAGGTTCAGTGGCTTTTGAAGAACTCCTGCTCTGATAAACAGGGTGGGACCAGGAGGCAAAAGTGTACCTGGTTTGCAATTGTTGAATTATTGCAGATTCAGATTTATAGCTGGGGTGGTACTTACTAATGAGGGACTTGGGGTGTTTATCTGTGCTGACAGTGTCCTAGACTAAAGTGTATCTGTGCCCTTTACTGCTTTCATTATTTTGGAAGTTTTTATTTCCTTTCAAATAAAGCTCCTGATTTTTTTGTCTTATTTGATGTGTCTTTTTTAATACCTTGCATAGTATTTTTGTTGTTTCTAAACTGGATTAAATACTTGCCATAAGCTGAGTCATCCTGTTTGTGAGGCTTGGTGCTTGTTAAGAAAAATGCTGGAAGTCTTTCTCAGCATGTTAATAAATGGGGATGTTCCTAATCTTGCCTCCCTGTTACACTGAAATTTCAGCTTTGGAGTCGCTACTAACACATCCTTAGTGTTGTATTTTGACTCTATGTTGATAATTTACACTGTCATTTCCATACTACTTCATTTATTTGCAGTTTAGGTGTCTCACGAGTCAGATCTCCTCTTCCCCCTGCAGTTGCTCTCGTGTAGGAGACTTCTAAGAATGTGAAATTCAGCTTGTTCTCAGCCACCCAATATTTATACCGGGCTACTTCACTGCAGGAATTTAAAAACAAACCTATCCTTTATGCTCAAGTCTGCCTCTCTCCCGCCTCCCCCAGCTTTTTGTTAATGCTCCGTTGCCCACAGAATGGGTAATGTTCTCCCAGGGACAGCTAATGAATGGGCTGCTGTTATCTGCTGTTGTTCCCAAGTGTACCGAACAAACCTCTGGATGGCCGAGTCTGGAGCTCACCCTGTGCTATTTTCATCCCCCGCTGGAGCTCTCAGGGAGCTCAACTTCCTCCTATCTTGCAGCTCCCAGGCTCTGAGGCAGCAAACTGCACCCATTAATTACCTTAAAGAAAGTAAAGATGTTTCAGATCTGAGGTTGTAGAGTGGTTCATTCAGCAAATCCTGTGACCCCCATAGAGAGAGTATGGTTGGGAAATCTGAATCTGTGGTGTCCTCAGGTATATTCAGCATCTTTAGAGTTGTGGATGTCACTTCAGGGTACCAGAGCAGAGAAGGAGGCTCCTTGGTGTGACCTTATTATTGGAATGTTCTTATTAGTGTTTGTTTAAAAGAGTGAAGGAAAGAGTTCATTAAAACGAACAAGTTTTCGAACAACTTTTCTGTTTAGAGTTGAAGAAGTAACAAATAAGGAATGACCACTGTTTCAGGGTCTTCGTAGCTGAAGTGTCCTTCAAAGAAAGCACAGACTGGCTTTTTAACCTGTCTGTATCTTACTTGGCATGTTGTCAGAGGCTTTCAGAGCCAGATTCTCATGCTGTTCTTTACAACTGCTTTGGAGTAGGGACTTCTCAAGACTTGCCATTTTTTTTTATCCTATATTAGTAAAACAAAGTTCCAGTATAAGTTATTGAGGACATGTGGTGACAAAGAAGTCTTCACAGCATGAATAAAATAGATCATAATCCAAATTTTCTTTTAAGTATATTTTTTGCTACAATTTATTATAGCTTATAATATAGTTATAAGTAATTTTCCTAGATGTCTTCTGAATCCTATCTATGCAATGAATTTTTGGTTTGTAATTCATTCTGAACTGTAGTGCTGGAAGTGCAGTTTTGAGTGTGTTTGTATAGAATTTTAAGTGGTTACCTTAAGTAGGCACATCAGGACTATTCATGCAGCTCATGTGCTGAACTAATTAGATTTCTGAGCATTTACAGTCAATTCTCATACTGCTCACAAACTTCTACATTGGTGTTCCTGTATAGATTTGCACCAGTTTAAGTTACTTCTATTTTTTTCACTTTGTTAAAGTATTTTAAAGCAATAATTTCACCAAAAAGAGTTCCTGAGGTAAAGTTTACTTTGGGTTTTGCCAACTGAAAACATTTACAAATGCTGAAGGAGTTCCCTGCAAAGATTGTGATAATGTGACACCGGGTGCCATCTGCTGCTCAGAACACGAAGTTCAGTCTGCTCTGGAAAATTTTGGAGGGAAATGAACTGGCTTTTGCTTTTGTTTGAACTTTTTATAGTTGAGAGTAAAATACAAAGGCAGCTTTTACTTCTGGAGTTAAATGCAGGCTGCACACTCCTGAATTTGCTTATTCCCAAGTAAGACAGAACTGGATTGATGTTCCAAAATACTTCATGTCACAGCATTCCTGAATTACATGAGGTACAGCTAAATCCAAATTGGCCAGGCAGTGATTCCCCAGGATGTCTTATAGATCTGACTGATGGAAAATAATTTAAAATTCAGTATATATTTTCTTTCTGAGGAATAAATCAATTTTGAATTTAAAAATAGCAAAATCTCTTTAATTATGGACTTTTCAACCCAAACCCAAAATGGCCATCACAAGAAACAGTAGATCAAATTAGTGTTGTATCTATGTGGAAAAGTTAACAGATCAAGTAAATTCTTTGTGACTTAAAATTGAGAACTTTGGTAAAAGGAGGCACTGCACAGAAGCTCAACATTATGAATATGGTTGGACTTGATGATCTTAAGGGTCTCTTCCAACCTTGATGATTCTATGATTCCATGAAGAATTTGGTTGTCAAAGATTGCTGGTTGACCAAGAGTTGCTGAAGACCAAGGGAGGGGAAATTAATGGTGACAGAACCATTGTCAAGCTTCAGAGCCTTTGTGTAATAAACTGAATTAAAAGGAACACTTGTTCCTGTGTTTTTTTCTATTTTGTTGAGGATTAGAATTTCCTCAGTAACATCATGTACAGGCAGTTCTGAAAAACATAATTAAATTGTTGATACTTAGTCACTCTCTGATTACTACTTGCTTTTAGTTAAAGTGAAGTGTCATGTGGGATGATTAATTGCAGCTGTGCTGACCGGTTTGTGCTGAGCTGGGGGCAGGTCTGTGCATCTCTAAGATGTGGCTTTTTAGCTAATGAACAAAGCTGGAGATACAGACTGTGTTAGCTAATGAAACAGGCTGAAAACACCATGTACCGAGTTCCTCAGGAAATAATAAAAGGTGAATTTTGACAAAAATCAACAGTATAGGGATATATACACACATACATGTAAGTCTGTATTGATACTGCTCTGGATCTGTTGTATTGCCACTCAAGAAATGGTTCTTAAATATTGTATTGTGCCAAATATTCCTCTTAGATAAATTTTTAAAATGCTTACGGCTTCATCTTGAACTGTAAAAATGCATGATTCTTTGTTGGTTTACTGAAATATTTTTGTCAGAAGTTTGTTAAAATGTGACACTGAACTTGGGATGAAGGTGTGTGACATCTCAGGTAAATGTCTGTAAAGCATTGCCTGTCTGAAAGGTCAGGGATGAAATTCAGTGCAGAATTATCAAAACCCAAAATGTGTGAATGTGGTTCTTGTGAGTTTATACATCACTCTGAGTTTAATTATTAAATTTTTAAATTAAATTTTATTTATTAAATTTTTCCTGATCTGTTCCCTGATAGATAAGTGCACTGTCCAGTTGTGGCAAAATAGAGTGTTTGTAACAGCTGAAGTATAATGGTTGTGCTGATTTCAACATTTAATGCTTTATCTGTAACTGTGTTTTGTAAAACATGAAATAAACTACGAGTTGAGACTTTTTTAGCTCTAGTGTGTATGACTCAAATTTGTTTTGAATCACTTACCATTTCTGCTCTGTGTATTGGAATAATACAGTCAGAAACTTTACTGTTCATGACCTGATTTCCTTTTTGTTGTTTTATTGAATCCTTTGAGTTGTGGGATGATGTATTTAGGATTCTACCTGTGTTTTGTGCTGCTGAGCACAGAAGACAGAGCTTTGTGTATGAGACAGGAAAAAATAAAGCCTTGAATTACCTCCCTGTATTGCTAATAGTAACAAATTTCACTGCTGTTTTTGTTCCACCTTCTCAATTAGGGAGAGAAAGCAGTAATGTTGTTGCTTCTTAACAGTCATACTTGTGAAAATAAAATTAAATTGTTGTAAATCTATTTCATTGCAGCATCCCCTTCACTATTCAGCGACTCTGTGAGTTGCTGACAGATCCTAGGAGGAATTACACAGGAACAGACAAATTTCTAAGAGGTGTGGAAAAGGTATGTACTTTTCTGAGAGAACACAGCTCCACAGTCCCAGCCCCCACTGAATAACTTCCCAATTGCTCCCCACAGTCTCGTGGTTTCACTGTGGCTCAGAGTACAGCCAATGGCTGCTCTTGAATGTACGAGTTTTTGTACCTTTCAGCATTGAAAAGCGGTTCTAAAATAACTTAAGACATAAAAATAAATCTCAGGGCTGCAACTGTTGTGTTTCCTAATCACTGTGCAGTACTCCAGCTGTAGTTTGAGGAGGGTGTATTGCCACTTTTTATACTGAGTCCTAGTTAGAAAGAATCAGCTGAAATAATGTGAATTTTTTGATCAGGCATTTCCTTCCACATTTGAGTTCAGAGCAGACCCAGAGGTGAAGGAGAAGGGAGGCCCCTTCCCCACAGTGTCTTCTGTTTCAGTATTTAAATCCCACAGCAGAGGACTGTGCCTTCAGAAAAGCACACAGATGTCATGTATTTTATAACCTATGTCGGAATGTGGGATTGTTCAAAAGTCAGTAACAGACTTTCAGGATGTGCTTCCACGTAGGATTTTTTAGCATTTCTGAATCCTTTGTTTTCCAGAGATCCTTCAGTTAAAAATTACAAACACCTGGGCCTGAGGCTTGATGTGCTGGTCTTGTTAAGACAGTAACCCACTTCAAAAAATACTGAATTTTAGTGTAATTATGGCCTGACCTGGTAAGAAGGAGCAGAGATACTTTAACAGATATGACCAAAATCCTGTAACTCTAAGTTTTGGGATGTTGTCAAGAGCTGAAGCTTCTGTTTCTGAACTCTTGATGTGTTTATTGTTTGTGTGTTACAGAATGTCATGGTTGTCAGCTGTGTATATCCATCTTCAGAGTGAGTATAATCTCCTTTTCCGTGAAACTTCAAGTTTGTGTTAGTAACAGGGAGAGTGTGTGTATGTGTGTCTGATGTATCTCTCTTGTTGGCAGCAGTTGTATCTCAAAGACAGACATACAGAGTTCAGATGTGGTTATCAATAGCTGAGTCAGCAGCAGGGATGGCATCTGCAAGTGCAGTAATTTGGAAATGGATAAGTGGAGAACCCCTTGGGGACTGACAGTGGGGGCTGTTTAAGTTCGAGGGGTGGGGAATTTTGTGCAAACAAACTTAAAATAATTTATTCCTAACATTTTGGTTGTTGTTTTGTTTCTTAGGAAAAATAATTCCAGTAGTTTAAATCGGATGAATGGTGTTATGTTCCCAGGAAACTCACCAGGGTACTCTGACAGGTAAGTTTAGTTCCAGGAGAGAACTTTTTCTGGATCAGAGCAGGGGAGTTCTGAAAACAGGTGGTTCAGAGCCCTTATTACCTGATCCCAAATAAGTAGCCTTAAAAATGACATGTTAAATGGAATAATGGGGGAATGGGGTAGAGGAGGCATGAACATGCACACTATGTACTCTGTATTTTGATCCCTTTGTAACCTCGTTGTTGAGAATTTTTTTTGTTGTGCAAATTCTTTATCATTGTACGCAAGGAATGTTTCATTCAATGTAAAACAGCAAAGCACCCGATCTGTTTGTTTTGTTCTGTTGAATCTTTTAAACAAGGGTATAACTGCTTTCTGCCAAATAGGGTTAACTTTTCATTTTTATTTTTAAAGATCTAATGTAAATGGCCCTGGAACCCCCAGACCAGTAAATCGAACGAAGGTTTCGTTGTCGACTCCAATGACAACAAACGGTTTGCCAGACAGCACAGAACATAAAGAGCCAAGCTTGCAGCAAACAGAAGAGAAGAAACACAGGTTGGTCAGGAGGAATGTGTTTTGAGTTTTTATTATTCTCAGGTGTTTTAACTTACATTTTTTAAAATAGTTTAAAAGAGACTGGCCATCCAAGGGATGCATAATGGAGTCTTAAATCAGAAGTGATGGCTTTGGGGTTTTGTTACAAATGAGTTCTACTGTTATCTCTTATAGAGGGTTTAAATTGAAGTAGCTGCTACTATTTTTTGAAGTCTGACAAGATAGAGAATGTTTTTCTTCTGTAAAAGCTCCAGCTGCTTTTCTTGCTTACAGTGAATCACCAGCAGCTGAACCAGAAGGTGCTCAGAGCACCCCAGTAAAAAATAAGCACTCTGAGGATGATCCCGCAGAAGCAGAAGGACATGAGGTAAAAAGACTTAAATTTGACAAGGAAGGGGAAGCCAGAGATACACCAAACCAAACTGCCTCCAGTGAAGTCTCTTCAGGCATGGGGGAAGAGACAGAAGCATCCTCCACATCTCAGGATAAAGAAAAAGATGCTACTTGTGCCAGACAGCACTGTAGAGAGGAAGAGGAGGAAGGTACTTCAGATTTATTGTCTTTGTGCATTTTCCAAGGAATTGGGATTTTCTTTGCTGGAGACTGGTACTGTGGGATTGCTGTGGGCCTCCAGTTGTGCATAAGGATGAGCTATTGCATAATTGAGAATTCCTGTTATTTCTGTTTCCTTTTTCCTACAACTCAATTTAAAACTTACAAAATGGTACAAATGGCAGTAAATTAAATCAGGGTGACAATGGTGTACCAAGAATTCAAGAATCCCTCCTTTAGGGAATCATCAGGGGTTCTTATCCCTTCCCCAGGAGTGGGGTGTGTCATACCTGTGTTTGACTCTGTTTAATAATAATATAAATTACTGAAATACAGGTAAAAAGTTATGTTCTTTCACTGAGGAGACTGAGCAACAATCTCTCTGCATCCTGTTAGAAAAATTACGTCACTCTAAGCACCTAAATTAAAAAAGAACTGTAATTAAGAGACTAATTTAGGTTTTTACATATTCTCCAAATTTCTTTTTCTTTTTTCTTTTTTTTTATGGTGGCTCATACATTTGTAAAATTTCCCTTTAGATCATAATGGCTGTAGACTTGAAACAGTCATGTTTTCATCATTTCCAGAAGACTGTTTCTGAAGGCAAAGGAAGGAAGCAAGAAAAAGTCACTTGTTAGATGTGTCTTTACCCACTGAAGCTTAATTAAGAGATGCTTCCTGTTAAATAAAGTAACTGGCTTTTGTTTTATGGTATATTAGCATAGTTTGGATGTCCTGACAAAGGTGGCTCATGTTTTACATCTCCTGATGAAATCTGGGTTTGTCTGTTTTTCCTGTCCTTGGCTGTGTTGTGGAAGTGTTGCTCAGCACAGCTGGGAATGGAAAGTAGCAGGATTAAGGTATGTTTAAAAATGCTTCAATAATACTGTACTTTCCCTATTTCTAGAGTCCTTCATGTCTCCCAGAAATGTTGGTCCAGACAGAAAAGATCAAGACAAAGACACTGAATCCTCGGGTGTGACCGAAGAGAGCTCTGAGGAGAACAGTCGGATGGAGGAGTCCGACCAGTCGAGGGCAGAGAAGGATTTACACTCGGATGACAGTGAAATCAGTGGCTCTGCCAGTAATGGAGCTGACTGCAGTGAAACAGAAGAGCTGGGGTCCTATGCTAGTGAAACTCCAGAAAATTCCTCAGAGAGCCCGATGGAAAACAGTGATGAAGCCACAGAAGCTGCAGATGAACCTATGGAGCAAGACTAATTTAAATAAACTTAGATGCAGTATTTTCCATAAGGCTCCGGTTTTACACTGTATAAATAATTTTATGTAATAAAGTGGACCTTTAGTTTTACAAAAAGAAGCAGGTTGTAAAATAAACTTCTCCATGGATTGAACCTTGAAAGAGTTGTACATGATAAGAACTGTGAATACCAGCTCCTTCAGGTCCTGCTTACCGCTGAACTTTCGTTTGGTCAAATCAGTGGTTTGTGTATAGTTTTTTTTATTTAGAATAAAAGTTTTTAAACTGGAAGGTAATTAATTATAATTTTGACAACTTTTTTGGAGATCACCACACCTAGTTGTATGTAAGCAAGAAAGCTTTTTGTCTTGTCTTTTTCTGACAGCTATAGCAGTTACTTCATATTTTGGTTACAGTTTCAACATTTGACATATGAAATAATGGGGTTTCAGGCTGGTTTCCAGATTTTTATTTGAATACACACTATGGAACCTTCTGTTGTGTGTTTAAAATGTGTTACATTTCACACACACATCTGTATGCACGCATGCACACCTGTGTGTACCCTCGCTGTTCTGAGGGGGAAAGGGTATATTTTTCTGTTTCTATAAAAGATAAATACAGCAAATACTTTTTCTATAGGAAAAGACTGAGTTCACCTCTCAAGGCACTTTGTTTTGCCTCTGGAAAAAAACGAAACAAATGAAATCTGGCCCATATGAAACCCTGGAAATACTAACATTGTTGAAAACACCAGAGTAAACACATTCCAAGAAAACTGTTCCAATGACAACATTTTTGTACACTTCTGAGGTGCCTGAGTGAAAGGAGTTCGTTTATTTATGAGAAAATGTGCTTTATGTTGAGAACGTCGTAATTAAAACATTAGCTTAAACTTTTGTAGAAGAAATGTTTGAAAATAAGAAAATATCTGGGAAGAAATGAGCAGGTACTTGCCTTTTTTGAGCTTCTTGGAGCTTTGTGAATATTGTAGAGGAGTCTCAGAATTACTTTAAGGTTTGCAGATGGCATCGATCTGATCACACCACTGGAGTGGAAGGATGGATACGTGACCCTGGTCATGTACCTGAGCTACAAGGTTTAGGGGTGCATAGAAATCACCATGATTTGTATAACATTTTGGAAGTGAACTAAATATTTTTGAACATGCTACTTTGACAGCCAGTGTTACGTTTTTTTCAAACCAGCTCAAAGCACAAACTACTGCTTTAAACTCAATATTTTCCAGTTCCCATATTTAAAGACATGCAAGCTGCAACCTCCCAGTCACAATTACTGGCTGCCAAATTTATACCTGTTTCTTCAACTGTACCTTTTTGATATTTAGAATTTTTAAATTTCTGTAAAGTAGATTTTTTGTAGATTGTAATGAGTGCTCACTGCCATTGTGAAACGGTATATAATTGTATAATTTCTGTGTGTAAACTGAATGCTTGGGCTTTCAATACAGTATTCATATAAAGCAATAAATATTAATGTTATGAAATATCTGAGTACATTTTTATCACAATTGTCCCTCTGGTTTTAAGTTCACGTACCTGAAGTACAAAAATGACCTCTAAAATGCATGCTGATAGATTCTTGTACTACATGGTCTGCTTTGTATCGTTTGGGGGAAATTTAGGTTTTGATTAACACCAGAATTAATTTGGCTCAGTTGGAATATTTATAAAGTTATTTCTTGCTGATGTTACCTATCAAGTTGTGAGCAGACAGGATTCAGGGAGATGCTTGCAAAAAAAAAATAAATCGTATTGATCGAGATCCCCTTAAAGAAGGAAAATTGTACTTTGACTCATTTTCATTGTGCTGAAGGGTTGGATGTGTGTTATCAAACTAAAGGACTGAACCAAAATGATGAGATTAGGAAAGTTTAAGACTATAGTGACATCTTTACAGTTCTTTTTTTTTTTTTTTAAATATTTTGCCAATGAGAAAATTTTAAGATTTCTAAGTTCGGAGATTTCTGAAATTTTCTTTTAGATTGTTTATTTGTGACGATATTGTCAATAAACTTGTTCTTTAAGCACCTGTGACCTTTCCAGATGTTTGTTTTAGCAGCGTTAGTGCCACTCCTGCAGAGACCTGCAGAACTTTGAGGTATGGATCTGCAGCTTCTTTTAATGGCTAATGAAAATGGAAATCGTGCTTCAACCTCACAGTAAGGACCTTAATCCTAACTGTGCCCTACATTAAATGAGATCTGCTTTAAATTCCCACACACCCCAGGGCGTGTGGCTTCAAACTGCAAGAGAATGGGTTTAGATTGGATATGGGGAAGAAATTCCTGAGTGGTGGTGGTGAGGCCCTGAAATGGATTTCCCAGAGAAGCTGTGGCTGCCCCAGCCCTGGATGTGTCCAAGGCCAGGTTGGAGCAATCTGGGATAGTGGAAGGTGTCCTGCCATGGGCAGGGACAAGGGGGTGGAACCTGGGTGGGCTTTCAGGTCCCTTCCAGCCCGAACATTCTGTGATCCCATGATTCTGTGTTCCTGCACACAGCCAAATTCAGCGTCCTACTTGTCTTCCATAAGGAAACGTGTGGTTGAACCCCAGAAAACCAGGCAGCAGGTGCTTTAGAGCATTCCTTGGTGTATTTCCTATTAAAAACTGTTATGAGGGACCAGAATATAAATAGAAAGTGAAATGGAGTTTAGTTTTCAGAGTACGAGCTTGAAGTCAGCCCTTAATTCTGCTCTTGATATTTAAAAAAAAATAAATTAAAAATTACTTCTTTGTAGTATCCAAGATGCTCAGTCAGCCTTGATTTTTAAATCTCAGGAAATGCTTGGATGATTGCACTAGGGAAAGCTTTCTACTACAGCATGGATTTGGGATTTCTTTTGTAAATCCTCATGGATCTACTGCTGGCTTCAACAAAGTGAACTTCATTTTTAATATAAGAATAGTTCTGTGGGTTTCTAAGGCAGAGGCACCTCTGCAGCACTGACTTGTTTTTAAACACGTCAGCAGGAAATGCTCCTGGCTGGAAGAGTAGGTTGGAATTGCATTTCAGTTTACACCTGGCCTGGGGGATGGAGGAAACGGATGAAAAATATTTCTGCTGCTGCTTCAACCTGGGAGAAGTTCTGTGCGTGTGGTGGTTTTTAGTCGAGCAGTTCTCTGAGAAGCTGCATCCTGATAGTCCTGGGTCTGGAACAAAAAAAGAAACAAACTTCAATTTTTAGCCTCTCTGTTAATTGTATGGGGGGAGGGGAATAAAACCAGAGCCAAAGCCTGATAGAACCTTAATTATATGAGTTTTCTGTTGCAATAGTTAAGTGGCAACACAGTGATTTATTAAAAAAAAATAGATTTTTCCCAGAATGGATGCCTTCTATTGACTGCAACTGTACAGAACACCCTTCTGCAATCCTTTGGCTTTCTATTCATATGGAGCAGTTCTAGGAAGAGTTTAAAGGTTGTTTGTGTCTCTGTGTGTCTGAGGTCAGTGTGCTTCAGTGAGACAATCATGGGTGAGGTGTGAATTGCCAGTTATATCCCAGTTATATCCCTCTGTTGCCAATTGGAGACCCACATTTTGTCATGTAAACTTTTGTTAGGCAGCTCTTCATCCTCTTTCGCTTCAAGGACATTCATGCCAGCAAATTCCTTCTGGATATAGTGTGCTTTAGTGTCTGCATGGTTTAACGGACAGGTTTGGCTCTGGAATGGCACACAGGCTGTGCCACCACCTGTGCTCCCTGTACCTGTGTGGGGGGTTGCTCTGCTCCTGGGCCCTCCCGAGGCTGGCAGTGGTGACAAGTTTATGGAATATCTTGTCTGTGTTTCTGTGTTTGTGAGCAGGTCCTGAGACACAAGGCACCTTATTCCCAGGATTCCTGCAGCCTGCCCAAAAGCATTAATGCCAGCAACTCGTCTGCTGCAGGCTGGAGTTTTTGGGTTAGGAAGAGGAGCGTGAGAGGGGCTCTCACCAGTGCATATAAATATCTCCAAGATGCATGTCCCAGGATAGTGCCAGACTCTGTTCAGTGGTGCCCAGTGACAGGATGAGGAGAAATGGCCATAAAAAAAGGCTCAAGAAGTTCCACCTCAGCATGAGGAAGAACTTCTTTACATTGAGAGTGGCAAAGCACTGGGACAGCTGCGTGGTGCCTCTCTCCCTGGAGACATTCCGAACCCACCTGGGGGTTCGTGTGTCACCTGCTCCAGGTGACCCTGCCTTGGCAGGGGGATTGGATGATCTCCAGAGGTCCCTTCCCACCCTGAACCATGGTGTGGTTCTGTGAGACAGTCCTGTGTTTCCAGGTGACTGTGGATGTGCTGCTCCCTGCGGACACAACCGGCAGTGGGGGTTTGGACCATCCTGTTCAGCGGCACCGACAGATGCACTGCGATAACAGGAATGGAGACAGCGAGCCCAGCACAGCGTGGTCCTGGTGTTGATGTCACACAGCTCACACACGTCAATACACCAGTGGAAGGACATGGATTCCTTGGATAGGGGAGCAGGGCAAGGAACTTGTGTGCCAGCTCGTTCCCATGATGAGAAACCTGAGATGCCGAGCTGCCTCCGGACACGGGGCAGAGCACGAGGGGGAACTCGAGACGCCGGAGCTGCGGGTCTGGAATGGAAACCCCGATGAGTGACGTGACCCGGCTGCTCGGCAGGTCCATGTTTCGGTGTGCCAAGGGGAGGAGAGGTCGGGGACAGCTGACAGTGACAACCAAGTGCCGGCAGAGGCCGCCTCGGCAACGTGGAATGTGATGAGGCATCAAAGGAGCTGCCACAGCACCCCTGTCACAGGTCCCTGCTCTGAGGGCCCAGAGAATAAACCCACAGATCAGATAGTCTTCCACATTAAAGAAATCAGGGATACCTTTATAACCTTCAAACTTACCCCTTTGAGTTTCCCACCTCTGCAAACTTTCCTCTTAAACTTACACCCTTGTTCCAGTGAAAGTTGAGCCGTTTCTGTATTAATTCCATGGCTCCAGGAGATGGAGCTTTAGAACAGACAAACCTCACACTGCAGGAAAACGGGAGCTGAGATGCTACAGGAACATCAACCTGAGAGATGGGAGCTGCAAAAGTTTCTGCTTCTTCCCTGTCCGAAGTTGGAAAGCACCATAACTTTGTTATTGTATCTGCAGGGAACAACGGGCTGGAGGTGAAATATCTGTTCCCTTGAGAGGGATTGATCCTGTCTGGAATTCCATGGCAAGGGTGCTCTGGCATAGCTTGTCAGGAAATCAGGGGAAGAGATGCAGTGCTCCACACCTACATCACTTCCCAGCCTCTAATCCCCGTGATCATTCTCTCTGCAGTCCCACAAATCTCACAAACCACTGTAGCAAGTCCAAGGCTGTGAAAGAGATCTCAGTGAAATCCATGTGAATAACAGGAAGCTTTTCAGCTCTAAGTGCTGCATGATCTGTTCTCTTTGCCCATCGTGCTTAGGAAAAGAAGTCACGGATTAAGATGATCAGAGGGAAATAGTCCAGGTGTTTGGGTAGCTGAAGGGATAAGTGATGTGCTGGAATAGCTCACCCAGTTTTCTCAAAGCACTTCTCCCTCACTTCATCCCTCTGATGGAGCCCAGCTCTATGGTTCAGGGTGGACTACATGACTTCTAGGTTTCAGAACGGAGGTGATAGCTCTCAGTTGTGTGGGTGTTTAAGATAATTCCACTCTCCAATGTACTTACCTTTCAGAATTGTTTATTTTCCTTTGATGTTCCTCAGAAACCCTCTCTGTTCCATCCCATTTTTCCAAGATATACTTAACTGTCCTAGTTCTCCTAACATACACCTATTTTTGAGTGCCAAACCTTTCCCTCTGGGGCCACTTCTCTCAAGTGTTTCATATTTTACCTTTGCTCACAATGACTCCCAGTGACTTCAGTTGCTCTTTCCTGAACTCCTGGGCCTGTGTGGCATTTTATTACCAACTTGTAAAGATGCTGAGGAGATGCTGGTTCTCCATCAACTAAATGACTGCTTATGTGGGAGACAGAGAGACTCCTGCCTTCCACTGGCGTCACTTATCTCCCTGGGAATCTTACCAAGGAGTGACAGTCCCTGTCACAGGGGCCTCTCTCCAGGCAGTCACCACATCCAGGATCTTGCCTTCGGATGTTCTGTTTTTGGGACATCCCTGGTCAGTGTCTGCTGCACTCCATGGTTTATTTGGGAAGTCATCCATGTAAATTCCTCAACAATCCCGTGAGCAGGAGGTTGACACATCTTTTCCCTGACCAGGTGACTGCTCTGATCACTGGGCTGGTGGGTGATGCCCAAACTTGCTTTTTTGTTTGTTTGTTTTCCTGAACACACACACACATAACTTTGACTCTTCTCTTGTACAAGGGATAAATTAAAATAATGTGGAAAATAAAAACCCCGCGGTTATTACGAGGCTCTCCTTCCCCTGTAATAGAACAAAACGAACAAAATTGACTTTAAACAACAACTGATGATTTAAAACAAAATTGAATTTGAACAACAAAAGAATCATCCTGTTTTCCTGGTGCTGTAGGACTATCAGAATAGATCTGTGCCTCTCTGAGTCTTACAAGACTCTTTCTACTTCTGTTCTTTTGATTATTTATTCCTTTCTGCATTCTCTTTGACTTTCAGCTCAGTGGAAGAGCCGTGTGCCCTTCACCAAAGGCCTCCTCTTCAGATCTCTCTCTGACTGCAGGTCCTGCCTGCCTTGTTTGAGTCTGGGCATTCAAAGGGGCCCGTGTGTGGCAAAGACTGGAACTAAGTGCAGAGCTCAGTGATCTGGCAGTGCTGCTGCTAAAACATCTCATGGAAAACACACATCTTGGCTCTGTGATTGTAAAGGGAGTTGTTCTCTAAGCACAGGGGTTTGGCTTTACCAGGGCATTACTGCAGAGCCCTCTGGGGTCCCAGAACCAGCCAGGCTTCCTCAGGTGGGCTCAATGCCCTCCACAGGCACATGGAGCTGTCTGTGTGTGAGTATGGAGAGGTGTGACCTTTTGGAACTGAGTTACTCTAAACAACCAGCTTCTAAACAAAAATATTTTTTCCCCAATCATTTAAAATG